AATCGAACATCATACAGAATTCAATTTGCACCTTCTCTATGTTTTAAGTTCTCTGGTCTAGCCAACAGGGTGCAACAGAGTGCAAAAAAATTGCAAAAATCATAGACGGTAAAACTGTAAACACTCTTCTTCACATAATTTTATTTAACGCATATGAATTATTCAAAGAAGTTAATGTTGCTTGGCTTAAAGCTAAAGTTTAACCTTATATCGCATCGTCAATGCAGTGTAAAAACTGCTTTGTTTTGGGCCAAACATCCGATTCGAAATGTAACGTTTGCTCCTCTTCAACCTATAACCCCATTTCATGTAATAAAGTTGAATGCATGAACTGTAGCCAACAACATAGATCGGACCATAAACTATGTCTCACCCTACTTAAAAGGAAAGACATTCTTACATAAAAACACTGAATAAATGCAGCTGCAAAGAAGCAATCGAAAAAATAAACAACAAGCCTAAAGATTACGTCTCACCAACAGGAAATTTAGAAGAAGCAATAAATAAAAAAAAAAAAAAACAGAAACCAATAGAACAAAAAACCAAACAACAGCAACAAACAATTCCCATCCTCTGATACTTCTCTTACTATCAACAATACCAACAGTAACAGCAATACTCCTTACCAACAATACACACAACAATAAAACTACAACTCACTCAAATAAACACTCACAAAACATATCCTCTTCCAATCCTTCTTTACCAAACAACAACAATAACTCAATCGCTCTTTTAAACGCACGCACTCTTCTCACCCAACACTTAAACAACAATACAGTACAACAAAACACCGAAGACAGAGCTGCTATCCAAAATACTCTTTTAGCTCTTTCAACGGAATTTCTTTAATAGTGAAGTTTCTTCTCACCTAACACTCATTGATTCTTTATGGTACTTAAGGTTCTGCAGTGGAATCTTAATGGTTACTACAACAATTACAATGATCTCACTTTACTTCTAAAAGAAAATCTGTTTCATATAGTTGCTCTCCAAGAAACTCATTTGTTTAATAACCCACCAAACAGTATGATACTGCCAAATTTTTCTATTTACGACATAGAGCGTAATGCAATTGCTAAAAGGGGGTAGCTCTATTAATCCACAATTGACTTGAACATTCCAATCTTAACATAAATACTAATATCCTTTCAGTGGTTGCTAATATTAAATCCAACGTTACTTTCACAATAATTAATTATCGCGAAAAGACAATTTAAAAGAAGCCGATTTATCAAATCTTATTCACACTTCATCACAATATACTTTACGTACATCTTTAACGGATGGAGTCCTCTATGGGGT